AGATGAATTTCAGTTAATTGATGAAAAGTCAACTGTACACTGAAAAGTTAAACTTTGACTTTTTGGTCAAAATCGAGTACCAAAGATCACAATTCATCAATACATGTCAAAATATGAAACTTTTTCATCAAGAAATCAAAAAGTCAAGATTTTATTTTGAAAAGTCAAAATTGCTAAACTTAGAAATTTTTCTATGTGTTAAATTCACATTTTTTCATAACTTTGAGTCAAATTTTCACCATGATGCAAGATGGTTCAAAAGAAACTTCTAACATGAAAGTTGTAGATATCAATGAGATCTAAAACATTGTAAATCACAACTTCTTCTATAAATTCATGTATTTCAAGTTATGATTTTAAGAAGACATGTTCATGAAACTTGAAAAACATAGTGAAAATTTTCCCTAGTTTAGGCAGGATTTTGACCTAACTTCATGGCAATTTTTCACATAGTTCCAAGATGAATCTTCAAAAATGTCCAACATAGATGTTATATAGAATGTTACAAGCTTTCCAAAATGTCCAAGAACTTATTGAGATCATATTTGAGCAAGGAGAATCGAAGGCAAGAAGTTAGGGTTTTCAAACTTGAATTACAAGTCATTTCTTGATGAACACATGAACCAAATCCATGCTAGGCTGCATAATCTTTGCTTTGCAGGCCTCAAACTTGTTTGTCATTCCATTATTAATGGTTTACACAACTCTTTAGACCCTTATCCACTTGGTTTAAGCTTTGTCCAAAATGATTTTCCATTTATGGCACAAAGTTGCCATTTCCATTTTGATAAAACATCTCTTTTGCAATTGTCAACTTCTTGAGCCTTGCACTTTTTCTTTCCGCACACACAAACCATATAAACCAAAAGCAATGTGTCTAAGACCTCTTTGAACTCAGAACATGCTTGAACAACACTTTGATATTTGTCTTCTCACTTTTCTTCAAAAGCAAGTTATAGAGCCAAAAGGCTAGAACTCAGAAGTCTTGAGTACATTTGATCTCCAACCTTTTCCATACATATGCACAAGTCAATTGCAAGCCAAGGCACGATTTGAAGCATCCTAAAACTCTCTCAATCACCCTTGCTGCACAGAACTGCCCAAACTTGACAGTTTTGAGTCAAAATTTTCCATCTTCATTTCTACTCGTGCGTTTTGTTTCTTAATCATCCAAACAACTTACATACATCATACACAAGTGGTCCAAGTCCCTGTTACAAGACTGTAACACCATCTTCATCAACTTCCGTAACCAAAAAACAGAGCTTGCACCTTGACTTCTCTAGCATGATTTAAACACTCCCAGCATCAAGTAAGCATTGCATTAGCTTCTTGGGAACTTGAGGAAGCTAACCTGATCATCACAACTCCTTGAAAGCAGCTCAAACTCATTTCACGATTTCCAATTTTGAGGTACATTTTCCGAACTTCTATCTTCTCATTTAGGCATTGTTAAGATTGCATTTGTGAAGATAAAATGTAGACATCATTGCCCTGAAACTGTACATGTTCATAGATTTCATATATTGATTGAGCCTAGAGAATTTTAGGTTTGAATCTCTGAAAATAATTAGGTCAAAATTTGATACTTTTAGAAATTCTAATTCATCTTTGATTTATAACTTATGATATTTATATGGCTGGATTCATATGGAAAAATGGAGCAACTCTCATGTTTGCATATTTCATTTTTGTCGAGAAACTGTGAAGTTACAGATGTTCAGGCTAGAGGTTGAAGATAAAGTCACATTCAGGACATGACTTATGTTATGTATTTATTATTTCATCAATGTTACCAGATGTACAGCCACCCCAGTGGCAAAGGTAGCGCGCGTGTATGTTAGAGGTCACGGGTTCAACACCCAACGCTACCTTTTGTTCATTTTCTCACATTTTTCCTCTTTTTTTTTTGTTTCAAACAACAGCGCATGTGCCTAAGTCAGCGGGCCTTCCACTTTTTACTTTTTTTAACCCCTGTTTACTTTTGCATGTTGGCCCAACTTTTTATTATTTCATTTATTTATTTATTTTCATATTCTTTTTTATTTTATTTCAGTTTTTTTCTTTTATTATTCTTATTACTATTATTATTATTATTATTATTATTATTATTATTATTATTATTATTATTATTATTATTATTATTATTATTAAAAAATCCAAAATATATTTTTATGTATTATTTTCACATTTTTATGTTTATTTTCTTTATAAAACAAAAGACTAAAAATATTTTTTTAATAAATTAATTTCCTTTTCTTAAATAATTAATATTTAGATTTAGGTTTAATTATTATTTTCTTTTCTTTTAAATTAAAATTAACTTAGAATTTAGGTTTCTTTTAATTAATTAATTTTCATATTATTTTCATTAAGTTAAAACCTTTTTTTCATAAAAAACCTAAGAAGTATTTCAAACTTAATTTATTTTCTTAATTATTTTAGGTTTAATTTTGTTTAAATTTTATTAATCATTTTCTTAATTAGGTCAAAATTAAACCCTTGCATAAAAACCAAACAAAAATAATTTCTTTTTCCATTTACATTCTTGCATTATTTTCTTTTCAATTCTTGTATATTATTCAATATGGTTGTAATAGATAATTAGATTTAATTTTCTTGCAAAATCCCTATTTGTAAATTTGTACACCCCATCCCCTAATGATGTAATAGCGTAGTAATTTTACTTTCCGCAATTTATCGTTTTTATACAAATGTTAGTAATTAGGGTTTGTATGACAAGATTAAAATTAACAAGTAGTAAACCATAATCTAAGATAAACAATACATGTAAATCAAACACACTTACACCCTTAGGGTAATTCTACTTTGTTGCCTTATAAAAATGGTCATGTTATGCATGTGGGATATCTTAGCAAAAACAAATCAAAAATACAAGATCATAGTCCCTCGATGACGCTATCAATGTTGCCTTTCAAAATGATCTTAGTCCCTCAAAGAGAAATGATAAGATATCTCACAACATTGCTATCATGACTATACGATTACTTACGCATGTCCCTTTACATCCAAAGATAAGGCTTCTTACCAATCAATGGTAAGATAACAATATCAAAGGAAATGAAGAAATAAACAAAAGACTTTTGAGTAGGTAGATTGTTCCTAGTTGCTTGCTCATTTTCAAATCAAACATCCTTGTTTATTTTCAAAACAAACACCAAACACTTTCAAAATATTTTTCAAACATGAAATATTTTCAAAAGCACAACACTTTGTATACGTTCTTACGAACGAGAACTATTACAAAGTTTGCCTAAACAAATGTGCCTTTTCAAAATACTTTCAAAAACCACACAAAACACATTTTCAAACAAAAGCAAGTGATCTAGCAAGCAACTAAGAACCATAGATAACTATGGATGAAAAAGGTGTTAACACCTTTCCTTTTCATAATCTACCCCTGAACTCAAGAAATAATCTTAAAGGTCTTTCCTGTTCTAACTCACTTAAGAGAGAACATGAAGCATATTATAATCCAAATTCGGAAATGGACGATGCATACAAAGGTATGGAGAGTTGTGGGCTTCACTTCAGTTGTTGTTGGAATTTGTGGAAGATAATTCTTTACTGTGATTTATGTTTCATCATTTGCTTGCTGATTTTATTAGCAATGATATAAGGGATCAAAAGTGTGGATAGAAAATATTAAGGAAATCATTCTTTGAATAAAATTTTTTGAAAGACAAAATGAATATTGAAATATTTAGAAGAACAAAAAAATATATTTAATCCTATAAAAAAAAAAGCATATGCTCTCTTGCAATTACTTTTCTCTGGACATTTTGTCTTCCAAAGAACCAACAAGGAAGAAATTAATGTCACAATCATTATCAACAAACTTTCCATTTGTAATAAACCTAAAGATACAAACACATCACAAAAGGGTTAGCTGCCATTGTATTTTGAAACTTTGTGCAAATTTTATAAGGAGTCAATTATGTGATTGGAGGCTTCATAATCAACATGTCAAAGTTGAGAGGCAATTTGAAATTAGCTTGGATGCCTAAGGTAGGAATAGGTTGAGAGTAGCTTTTTCTGTATGCATGTGTTTCTAGAGAAAAGTCGTTAGCAACAACATTATTGGAGGTAGAATAGTACACATTTTGATTATTATTATAAATAAATTTTATATTTAGGTTCATTCAGCTATTCATGTATTTGAATTATATATGAACTAGATACATCAACTATTGAATAAACCAAAAAAGTTAAATTTATTTATAATAGTGATTAGAAGATGTGAGAATTTGACCTAAAGAAGAAGTGGTGATATGAAAGACCTGCACCAATTTCTTTGCATGTTGGGTCAGACATTATGCGAAGACATGGCCATATTGCTTACATATACGGTCTTTTCCTTTTGAATTTGGACAGAATAGATCACAAAAACGATATTCGTAATAGTTGTCATTTGCCATAACCACTTGAATTAATAGACATTGTTCATCTTGATGCAATAGTGCACATACAACTTTAAATTAGGTCGAAGTTTCATTAGAAATTAATCTTGCTGCCTAACTCATAGACAGTTTGAATGACAGTGAGTGAAGCCTTAAAAAGATTAGCATGTAAAATAGCTGAATGTTTTTGCCATATATTAAGTAAATCAGAGCAATAGTCTTGAATCAAAATACTGCTTTTACAAAAGTTACCTATGTCAAGCTTCAAAATCTTTATATCTTCTCTCTCATTCTCTCTTCCTCCATAAAATAGTGCATACTCAATAACTATACTTAAATGACATAATCAACAATAATAACTACAAATACATTCTGATTTAAAATCTAATTATATACAACTTTTTTAAATTACACAAATACAATAGAAAACTAACCCTAATTGGTAACACAAGCCATAGGAAAGAGTGTACTGATGATAAACAGAATTCAAGCAAGTAGAAAAGGATAAACAAATTCTTTTTAACTTCTCTAAGACTTGTTTTCGGATTGGATTTTCCTTAACAAGAGAACTTCATAGTGTTAACTTTGCAAAATTGAATAATCATATATTGAACCAAAACTGTCGCTGGTGACAAATCGAACATGTTTTACATCCTGAACTACACTCTGCAAGATAATTCTGCTTTCAATCAAATAAGTTCTACTCAACATGAAATGATAATAAGTAGCTATATAAATAGTGAAAAATGGAAAGGTTGTATGATTATGATTCTTCTGTAGCAATAATTCTCAGCATTCCTAGCACCTTAGATTAAGCAACCAGCATCTAGGATACCTGATCAGATCGTGCAATGCGTCTGAAAACAGCTTGGAAAGTCTGTCCATCATTCCTAGCAACCTTTTGGCCTTCTTCAGTAGCAGAGCTTAAAAGCTTAACAGCTGGATCCACTTCAAGTTCTTTCTCAGTCAACGGTTCAAACAGAGGGTGATTCTCCAAACAAGACTTCATCCATTCCCCAAGCTCTTCCACGTCTGTTATCGTGTATATAATTCCACCAACCTCAAGAACATAAGCATACTCATCTAGTAAGAACGGACTGATAACCCGACGACGATGGTTCTTCTCTTTAAAATGAGGATCAGGAAACAGGAAAAACATCTTCGAGAGTTGTGCTTTCTCAAAGTGATTCGGAATGTACTTCATGGAGTTAGTTCGAACCACAGAAATATTTTGGTATTGCCCCGGATTCGCTACCCTTAAAGATAAAATCCGCTCCTTAACATACTCACTCACTTTATCTCGAAGTTCCATTCCAATCATCAGTGTTTCCGGGAACAGAGTCGAGAGACTAATGAGCAGTCCTCCAAAACCACAGCCAATATCAGCAAACTTGATCTTTTTGGAACTATCAGCTTGAGGATAGTGGAGAGAATAGTCAACATGAGCGGGTGTTAACGGCACAGGGAAATGAGAGTCACTTAACGGGTTGCTATGAGCTCGTGCTCTATAGAAGCGCTTTCGCGGCAATCCGGTTGACTTGCTGTGAGTTGGATTTACCTTATTATCAGGCATGTCTGTTTATTCAAACTGCAGCATAGTTAAAACAAGAATCTTGAGAACAAATACAATACACAGTGATGATTGATAATGGAAGATATTTTCTATTACAACAAATACAGAATTATAAATACTGGGCATAAACTTTGATAGCATAAAAATCAGCAACAAAAAAAAAGTATTTTCAATAACAGCAGAATAGTCCAAAAGAATTATGACAAACATGTGGCGTGCATGACAGCATACATAATGTCTAAGACAAAAAACCATATATTCGATTAGTACTATAACAAAACCTTAAATTCATCCTATGTCGAAGTCAAATGACAAGGTACAAACATCGTAACGAAATGGTTATAGAGGATAATAATAATAATAGATCGAAATGAGAAAAAGAAAAGTATGTTAGCATACAATTGAAGTAACAGAAGGGTTTGGAATTCTTGAAAGGTTAAAGTGAAGGAAGTGAGTTTGCGGAGATCCGGGAGGCAGTAGTTGTAGCGGCGACGACAGAGGGAGGGCAGTGAAGTCGAATACAGCAGAGCAGAACAGAATTGAACAATGTGTTTGGGCCTCAATATTACTCGGCCCTAGTTTTCGGAGCAATTTATCTGATACACCTACCTCTATATCTCAACCACCGTGAATGAATTGACTATTATATTTTTTAAATATTTTTAAATAAAAATAATCAATTCTCTTTTAGCTTTTTTTTTAAGAAAAGAGAGCCGAAACTCAAAGAGAAAAAATTATGTAGCAAAACCAAAGTCTTGAATGTTGAGCGTTGAAGTTTGTTGTAGAATAATCTTTTTTAAGTCTTAGAACTTAAATCTTGGAGTCTTCAGAATTTGTTACATAGAATCTTGTCTTCAGAGTTTTCAGCATTTGGTTGTAAAAACTTTCTTTCTTCATATCATCAGAACTTGTTCAACAGAACTTTGTCTTCATAATCTTCAGAACTTGTAACACACGAAAATAAAGCTTTAGAAGGCCTCCAAAACTAAACCACAAAGTCACTATCAGAACTTTTTGTACTAACGTTCCTAAGACACATTTTGCAGAAGATCAGTTCAGAACCTTGACTTCAACGAAACATGTAACCACGTGTTTTCTTCTAGAGTGTATGTTCAGAACCTGATGACGTTACACGCCTTGTATCAGAGTCAGAATATTATAGCAGTGACTACACACTAGACGAAACCATTAGTGTATACAATTGTTCTCTAAGATAACATGTAAACTTATCATCAAAATGTCAAGTCCAAATGTAGGAAACACTTCTTGTTCTTACAATCTCCCCCTTTTTGATGATGACAAAACAATGTATTTGGATAGAACAATTTATACATGGTAATCACTGTAATCGACAAATTCAGAGTTAAGCTCACAGCTCCTCCTGAATTTGTTAAACTCAAAATTTCATTTAAGCTTGTTCAGAGTCTCCCCCTGAGGCCAAGACTCACAAAATAAATTTTGAGTATCAGAACATAAGAAATAGAGAAGTAACACTTCCCTACAGCAACTCATCAGAGTCTGACTAAAACGCATGGTCTTCATCTCAGAACCTGGTTTCTGTCAGCACTTGATGAAGAATCAAAACTTGATTTGAGCCTGATTAAATAATGCCACGCATATATATCAGCGCTTCTGGGCTATGATTCTAATATCACAACCAAAACACTATGCTTCTCAAGCATCATCTTTTGATCTGATATACTCCATTGTATCTTTTTGATAGTTCACAACTTCTAAATAGAGCATACGTTGCTGAGGCACACGTATCAGAGAATTGATTCTGAATGGCATCTCTGTATGAGAGCATGCATCAGAATATTGACTTGGCTTCCTTTCAGGAGAGTACAACTTCTAAGCTTTGAGTCTGAATTTCATACTTTCTGAAACTTAACAACTTCTGAATACTATGATATCAAGTCAGATTACCTTACTTTCAGTAAGTTTATAACTTCTGAATTGTGTTCGGTATATCTGTTTGAATATTCATATATTCATAAGATGTACAACATCTTAGATATAAAATCAGAGTTGACTTTATCCATGCATCAGGATCTTCTTCTTCAGCCAGTCTAGATTTCATACTTTCAGAAAGTTAACAACTTCTGAACACTATAATATCAAGCAAGATTACCTTACTTCAGTAAGTTTATAACTTCTGAATTGTGTTTGATACATCTGTTTGAATATTCATATATTCACAAAGTGTAAAACTTCTTAGATATGAGATCAGAGTTGATATCATCCATAAGGTTTTCAACCTTTGCATTAGGATCTTCATCTTCAACATGTCTTAGAATAAACTCAGTGAACTTGTTTAGAGTTCCTGGATTAAAAATATTTAAAAAAATAGTTAGTAGCAACAACATTATACATGTTTGAGTTTCATACTCTCAGAGTAAACATTATCAAAATTATTTTACTTTTCCGTCCTTTGTAAGAAATCAAAAAGGTAATAGAAGAAAAAAGAAATGATCTTTGGAGATAAAAGTTTTAAACCTAAATTGAAGATTTACTTTTTAGAACATAAAGAAATATTTGATAAGACTTTATGTGGAATGAGAAATATTGAGCTAGTGCACATATATTCAAATAAAATCATAACAGCAAAACCAAAACAATTCGTTGATTAAACTGGGACGACAAATACAACACAACATAGTTAAAACAGAGAAGACACACAAATGACAAACATGAATAACTCCTAAATAACTAGACTTAGAGAACTTGGCAACGAACTTCCTCTGGACCATTATGGCGAATTACTCCAATAATCCTAACATTTGCAAAGAGAATAGAGAGTACTCTAGGAAAAGGTATAAACATCTGGCGCCGAGTTCTATAAATAATGATTGAGTCCCTCAGATAGTTAAAGATGGATTGAGGTAAGTTGACTTTAATATGATGCATAAGAAAGTAGATGAGAACTTTATCCTCATAGTTTAGGGTGTTCATCATATAATTTCTAGGTCTAAAGTTTGTCACCACATGGGAGAAGATTGGCAACATTGGTGCGACAATATTCATGAGATACATTGTGAATGTTATGGAGTCGTTCATCAAAAGAGTATTTGTTTTCGAAGGCTTCTATGGTAAATCCTACTTGAGCACATCCAATAGCAGCAATGATAGATGTTGGGGTAATGATGATGGAGTTTCCAAAGACAGATGAGTGAATGGAGGTTCCATTTGACCTAACATCGACATGAAGCTAAAAATTCTTGACTAGGTCAAGATAGATTGGTCCAAACAATGCTGAAAAGTATCTGGACCATCTTTGTGCGGAGATACTTTGAGTAAGATCCAAATTATTTTCGATGGACCTAGGAATATTTGGACGACATTCACAGATAATTTAAGGAAAATCTTCATCTCCATGAAAGGTACTTGAAGCCATGAGGAGAGAGAGATATGAATGATTAAGGAGAGGTGATCAACATTTTAAAATAGAGGAAAATAAAACATAACTGACTATATAAGAGATACGGTTCAGATACCCCAAGAAGGATGACCACTCAAAGAAGGACATTTTTGAGAGAGAGAGAGATAGAGAGAGAGAGAGAGACTACGAGTTTCAAGATGCAAGATAGGACACATGACAAACACTTATGATGAAAAATTAAATATAGAAAGCTAACGATTTTAATTCCCAATGAGGTAGATTACCAAAAATGTCAGATAGTTAAGGTCTAACATTGAAATGAATCTTCAGTATCCGTGATGCAGAGATTTATATAAAAGATATATCTAACCAGGAGTATTTTGACATTTTCCTTGATAGAATAACTTCTAACTTGTAGAGATATCTATAAGTATTTTGTTAGAAAGCATATAAATATTGACCTGATATTTTGTCTCTTGAAAGATCATCTTTATCTTTCTATCTTATGAGGTTCTCTTTGCAGGAGTTTGATCAATAGAGGCTTCTGATTGATCATCTTCTGATTTTCTTTCTTCTTGTTCTTAAGCAGCAACTCCATAGATTTTGAAATGGTGATCTCCATACTTGTAAGTTTATCAACTAGCTTTGACTTTTCAGAGTCAAGCTTATCATTAAATCTAACATGTATTGATTCCAAAAAAAAGTTTCAGTGTTATATTCTCTGTAGCCTTTTGAGATTTAAGAACATCATAACATGATACCACTTTGATCAGTAGAATCAATCAGGTTCAAATTTTATTTAAGGTCTAGGATAAAAACAAGAGCATCCACTTGATGAGGATAAGAAATATTAGTTTCTTGTTTTTCCATAATACTTAGCAAGTCATTTCAGGAATAGGTCATATGAAGACACTATTATGAAAATAACATGTTGTGCTTATATCCTTTGCCCAGAAGTGCTTTTCTATATTGGAATGACAATGTTTGAGTTTTCATCTCAAATAGAACTTGAGTACAGAAGGTGGTGAATACAAAGTGTGACACATCCTTGTGTTAGAGAAGCTTCACTTAAGTCCAAGGCTTGTTCAGTTGAGAAAATTTTCTCATGTTTATATAACTTAAAAATCTGAGCCATGACCACTACTTCTCATTAACATTCATGAGACAAACTATTTTTAGTTTTATAAGATCAGAGAGCCTGGTCTCATAAGTGTTGTTTCTCTTCCTTTCATTGAAAGGATATAACCATCCTAATAGCTATTGTTCAGGAGCCTGTGATTCCTTTTGATCACCTCTGAAACCCATGATAATTTTTAGGCTTAAGTTCCAGACTTTGGAATATATGCCTTTTTCCCATCATGTCTTACAAGTAGCCAGAGTCAAGGTACCAAGATAGGTGTTTCAATTGCACTACTAAGGATGTTTGCAACATAGATTATCTTATCCTTTGGTACTCATAATCTCTTGGGTCCTTTCTTGTTATATCTACTAGAGTTGTGAGCAACTTTGGTTTTAGCAGGAGAATAATCATATTTGCAAGAGTTAAAACTAATTTTTTAGCCAATTGATTTTCATCGAATTCAGAATCTGATTTCTCTTCATATTTTCCATCTTCTTTTGG